CTATTCATGACATACCTCTGTCCTGGCATGGGTGAATGAGTTATTAAAAGGTGAGCAGGGGGAAAGGAAATTAGGAGATTGAAGTAAATACTTCCTGGCATGAAAACCAGAAATAATTCCATGTGGAAGAGGAAGCTGATGGACAATGTAGAAAAATATTCTACAGATTTAAAGTTTTTAAGTAGATTTGAGGGGGAGCCCCCCCGCCCCCCCACAGGACTTGACAAATTATATGAGAGCTGGTTGAAAAAGTCCATCTTTTTTAAAAAGGTCAGTATACGAAAGCTTCTGTTAGATCTAATTTTTATTTACCAGTATTGATGTGTTTGATTCCTTGCAATTAAATAAGATAGATTCTCTGGCACAAATTGCTTAGCATACTTCAGATATATGCACAAACAAATCAGGCATAAGAAATCTCTCTATGATGTACCGGCAGCTGTCAGAGGTGACATGTGAAGGTAGCAGTCAAGACCACCCTTAGGCACACACAGCATATACAGCTGCATAGGGCATCACTGCATTTGGGGCACCACACTGGTGTCCCCAATTCATTAGTGCCCTATGGTGCATATGCCTCAGGTTGTGACATTAAGCAGCTGCAGGCAGTGTGGCTCTGGTGACCCATCCTCTGGCCACCTCCCCCTCACGGGCTGCACCCAGCCCTGCTCCCAGGCCCACTGATGGGGTGGGAGGCAAAGGGGGAAATTGCCCATGACCCTGGAGATTCAAAAGGGGCCCAAAGCTCCTGGCCACCACTGTTACTGTCCCACAGATTGCCCCATGGCCCGCAGTGGCTGTCAGCTCAACTGCCCACTAGCAAAACAGCAGTGAGCAGCTGCAGAACCAATGGCTGGTAAAAAGCAATTTCCCCTTCAAAGTGCCATTTCTCTCCTGCTGGCAGTGATGCCACAATGCCACCTGCTACCACCCACCTGCTTCCCTAAGGATACAGGTGAGCTTCCCTCCTGGCTCTGATTCAGGTTTGGCAATCCAGTCCAGGAGAGTTGGCAATCACCATCACATCTAATTGTGCCCAGTCTGTCTGGTCTGGGAGATTTGCAGGCCCTCTTCCCCACAGCTTCTGCTCCAGTTGTCTCCCTCCTGCATAGCAGCCATTTTCCCCATGGGGAGGTTGGTACACACTGGTGCTGACTTGTGTAGGGCACCAGCATGGGTAGAGACAGTCCTGGTAGCAATAGTTGTTTTAAAGATGTATTTTGTTAGAGTTCTGAATAGAACGTTAAAAATTGCATGGTAATAGTGAGTTGTAAGTGGTAAAGAACTTTCTAATGGAAAGGAAAAATCAGTTATTTATTTTTCTGATATTGTCTTTTCCCCCAGCAAACAGTGAGACAACAATCTCTCAGTCTGAAGAAGAGGGATAATAGATCCAGTTCAGAGTCTGTACTGAGGCAGAGTGGCCTCCCTCTGGAGTGAAAGTAAGGGAACCAAACCCTCACACCTAGAATTACTGGGCGACAAGTATAAAAGGGAGTGTTTTGCCGCTGAGTTTTGGCTGCACCATAGAAGGAAATGGATGTCTCTTCTAGAGAGCCCTACTTGATAGACCACCACCTAAGGGTGTGTCTAGACTACTGAGTTTTGTTGACAAAAGTGGACTTTTGTCGACAAAACTATACCTGCGTCTACACTACCGCTGAGTTCTGTCGACATAACGTCGACAGAACTCAGCAGTTTTGTCGATGCTGGTAAACCTCATTTTACGAGGCATAACGCCTTCTGTCTAAAGAGTTCTGTCGACAAAAGGTGTTATTGCCTGTAGGGTTGCGTCTAGACTACAGGGTTTTGTCGACAAAGCAGCTTGCTTTGTCGACAGAACTGAATGTGTCTAGACGCTCTATGTCGACAGAAGTTTTGTCGACAGTATCTGTCGACAAAACTTCCGTCGACAAAACCCTGTAGTCTAGACGTACCCTAAGTGAGGTAGGTTGTAGTCTAAGTGAACTAGACAAGTCAGATTGTGCTGCTGGGAAATCAGGCAGCAGATTTCAGTTTCTCCACTGAACCATCCACCAGTAACACCACTCTGAACTGGTACCAGATGGAGTAATATGGGCATAAATCCCCTTATCCCTTTGCTGCTACTCTACACTTGTGGATTGTTGGCACACACACCCTAGATCTGAAACCTGGTACCCTTGTCTGCCTTAGCCAGGATGCTGGAGTCTCGAGACTTGATTATTCCATCCTGGGCAGAGTCCTAGACTATAGATTGCTGTCTGCATTAGGCTTTCTTTACTCTAGCACTTTGTCAGAACACTTTTGTTGGTGAGGGGTACGAAAAACCACACACACCATGACTGAGAAGTTCATTGACAAAAGCACTGGCATATACAGTGCTATGTTGATGGGAGAGCATATCATGCAAAGTAACTACCACATCCCACTGCTGGCTTAATTATGCTGGCAGGAGAGCTCTCTCCAGCTGGAATAGAGTGGCTGGAGACACAGGAGACTCCACTTAGATTCACTTGCAGCAGTACAACTGTGCCACTGTAAGGTCCATAGTTTAGACATTAGTAGAGCCTCCTGGCTAAGGCTAAAGACTCCTTATTGCTCTGCCCAACCAGAGGGCCAGACTCCAGACTGCCTATTGCTCCAAGCCCTAGTCAGGAGGTTCAGGAGTGCTTGTCACTCTGCCAGCTTCAGATTTAAGAGTTTGCCCCAGTCAGGAGACTACAAGCGACAGGTTTTTTTTGGTTTTGTTGTTTTGTTTTTTTTGCTCGACCATGACCCCTAAGGCCCAAGTCAAGCTGTTGTTGCCTGATGGAGAGAGATGGAGTAGCCTCCCTTGCCACTTCTGAGTTAGGGAACACAAAAGGTTAAAAGTTATTTATCTAGTCATGTATTCTTGCTCTGAATTTTTCCCCTTTACATGGTATCATAAATTGTTGCTGATTGCATCAACTATTTCCTATCACAATATCTCATTACTTCTGCTGGTGAAAAGTTCAGAAGACCCTATTCAGAGATTGAGGTTTTAATAAGTCAACTTGTCTAAAAAAGTCAGCTGTCAAAATACCATATACCAGAATAGACATGACATGAAACCCTTCGTCTCTAAAAATTTCCTAGGATTTTTCAAATCCTCATTTAATAATAGCAGCAGGAAGCTCTATGATACTATGACACATACCTCTGTCAAATGAAATACTGCCTGACTACTCACAGGGAAATCATTTTGTAAATAGAAGAGATTTCTGAGGAAAAGTAAACCCCTGAAAATCTCTCTCCAGAGGTGCTGGAACTAAGGATTCAGGAGAGGGGCTGCCACACCTGCCTTCCTCTGGCTTGAAGTGATTTCCATCATTCACAGGGCATATAGTTTTCTCAACAGCTGTCATTCCAGCACCAAAATCAGTGTCTTTTTTTTAAATGTACAGATGCATTATTATTGTGAAGAGATGAAAATTCACCTAAGACACGGCTTTTCAGATAAACTGAAAAATTTGATAATTGTTGCTACATTCTCATCAAAATTATCAGAGGATTTTGATTGTAAGTTTACCATTTTTTCTAAATGATTCACTATTTTCTTCAAATATTTCTTGAAGTGTAGATTGCAAACCATTTGTTTAGTCAGCATTTGAAATTGGCATTGTCTTGATTAATTCTGATTGGTTACACGAGTATATTTCTGTTCCCAGGCTAGATGACTGGTTACACGAGTATATTTCTGTTCCCAGGCTAGATGACTGGAATAAGTAGAATCAGGTTTCTAGTAAATTAAGTGTGTTCTGGAGTTCAGATTTTGCAATCCCAACATTCTTAAAGAATAGAACTACAGGCTCAACTTCTCTAGTCTGGCACCCTCAGAACCTAACCGGTGCCAAACCAAAGAATTTGCTGAATCATGGGAGACCAATATTGTCTAGCAGCGTTACCAATACTTCCACTGCTTTCTGGGATGTTAGCAAACATGTGGGCTACGTCTAGATTGGAGTGATTTTCCACAAATGCTTTTAACAGAAAATCTTTTTCATTTGCGGAAAAGAGCGTCTAGATTTTGCGGAAAAGCGTCCGTGCCAATCTAGATGCGGTTTTTCACAAGAAAGCCCTGATCGCCATTTTCGCCATCGGGGCTTTTTTGCGCAAAACAGTTTTCAGCTGTTTACACTGGCCCTTTTGCGCAAAAGCATTTCTGGAAAAGGGCTTTTGCCCGAACAAGAACATCAAAGCATTTGCACAAGAAGCACTGATTTCGGACAGTAGAATGTCAGTGCTTTTGCACAAAATCAAGCAGCCAGTGTAGACAGCTGGCAAGTTTTTCCGCAAAAGCGGTTGCGTTTGTGGAAAAACTTGCCAGTCTAGACGCAGCCTGAGGGATTAGAGCTAAACAACAGCATAGAACACAGAGAGCCAGATAAAAGTTATGGGACCACAGGAAAGTTGACCACACCCATAGTAAATGAACATTCAGCTAGCTAAAATTATGCCAGGCAATGGATGTTGCCAGACTAGAGAGTTTCAACCTATATTACAATCAGATTCCTAGTGAACATCAAGTTGCTAAATGTTCAGAATATTCATTGTTCACCTGAAACAGTTTCTGTACACATTTCTGCCATGGAAATCCACTAGAATATTCAGGGAAATTGTGTATGGGCACACACACAGTGAAAACTTGGTTAAAGATACAAGTTAACATTCACTAAAATTGTTTGCAAGATTCATCCAAATCCAGTTTATAGTGTTTATTGTGAGATCATATCTGATGCCAACAAATCCCCATAAAAACACCCACCCCCATACAAAACACTCTCACCCCCTCAACACAAGGCTGCCAAACAACTGCTCTGCTTGCACATATAACTCCAGTAAACATTACATTTGCTCAACTTGGCCAAAATACCTTAATTAAGCAGCACCACTACTACATAGTCATATTTCATGTTCAGCTGTAAAGTACCTTTCCTAGAAGGGCAAAACAGGTGAATACATAGAATGAAATATTTGATCAAATATAATTTACTTACTTTGGATGTCGAATGTCTGGCAGTGATCGTTCCAGAGCTATGTTGTTGCTAACAAATATGTTGAAGCCATTCTCCCTATACGCAGAATCATCACGGTCTTCCTCCGTTAGAGGATAGGGTTTTCCATGCTCACCTTTTCCTGTAACAAGAGGAAATGGTTACCAGTCTCTATTATTTGACATCCTGCAGAAGGTTCAAATTTGGTACAAAACACAAGGCTAAAGGAAGGAGAGATGGAGCAGGAACGATCATAGTAGCAACATTAAATAATTTTCTAGGATTCCTAGAAAATTATTGCAAGAAACCATGAGTTCATACAATCTGCCACAGGCATGTTATCAGATTACAATGGACAATTAGCACAACAGTAATGGCAAAAAAGGAAGTGGGTCTGGTCAATGAAAGAATAGCACTAAGCAGAGAACAAATATTTAATGTCATATGTAGATAAATGCCACAGGCTGGTTGCAAAATAGAGGAAAAGGAAGAATTCCAGATGACACTGGGCAAATGATAAGTAAATTTCCACAAGCTGAACTTGATTTTCTGAGCACATCTCAGACATGTGGAAAAATACAAATCTGTGGTGATTGTCAGAGGAAAAAGTTTTGGACACTAAAATGTAACTGGTGAGAATATTTTAGTGTTTGCCAGAGTTTGTGGCTCCCTAGTGGCCAATGTACACAGGCTTAAACTCCCAAACCTGGGACTCTCTGGTCCGGCAACATCCATGGTCCAGCAGAGCCTTGGATTTTGCTGGACCAAAGAGCCCCAGAGGTGGGAGCAGAAGCCAGCCAGGTGAATATGAAGACTGGGGAGTCCCCCAGCCTGAGCCAGGGAACCCCAGTGTCAGCAGGGTCAGGTGGTGATCATGAAGCTTTGGCTGCAGTGGGGCTGGTGGCAATGGGCAGGTCCAGCTAGGGAATACTGGGGAATCACTGGCAGCAGTCAGTAGCAGCTGGGAACCCTGGGAAGCCCCCAATGGCTGCAGGGCTGGGATAGCCAGGCAGCCTTGGCCAGGGAATCCCTAGCAGCAGACAGGCAGCCCCAGCAGAACCACACTAAAGAACCCACTATGGCAGTGTGGCCAACAGCAGCTATGTGGTCCTGGCCAGGAACCTCTAGGGAATATGGCTGCAGTAGGTAGGCAGGGCAGGGAGCCCCATGGAGAGGAGCAAGCAGAGGAGCACTGACCTCCCTTGGCCCAGCAAACGCCATGGCTTCAGATAGCTCTAGTTCTGAGGGTGCCAGATCAGCGAGGTCCAATCTGTACTTTGCATGAGAGGTAGCAGTATTTAAATATAGGGAGCAGTAACAAGTCCCAGATCAATTATTTCCTAACAGAAAAAGCAAATAGGAAAGAGACTTTCACCTTTCAAAAGAATGCAAAGGGCAGGTCTGAGGGGTAGTCACCTGAGACAAGGGCAGTAGAGTTCAAACAGATGACTAGAGAGAGGCAAGAACAGGCATTGTGGGAAGGGTGTCAGAGACCAGTTATGATACAGTACTACACCACAATGTCTACACTGGCAACCCAGTGCTGTATCCAGAGCGCAGAAAGCTCTACCTTCTGTCTGAGGTTGTTTACCTATGCTAAGAGCCATACCAGTGTGGACACCTCAGAAGTTATAGCACCAGGGGCTGATTTCCTATGCAGTAACTTGCCAGTTTAGACTTGGCCTATGATTTTGATAAACTAGAAAACTGGTCAATATGCTGGTGATCCATGATTTCCAAACGTACAACACATGTTCAATCACTCTCTCAGAAAGGTGACCTTCTGTATATTTTTTACTCTTTCCTCAGAATAGGGCCTAATTTGTGCCAATTAGTTATCAACTCCAGAGTTGCTGACACAGAGGGAGGACAATCCAAAGCTAACACATTACAGACAATTTGGTCAATTACTTACATGCCAATTCATCAAAGTTTCCTTCTGAATGCATATTCAGTAGTTAATACTTTTAGCCTACTCCCCACAAATTATATTAACTGTAGGGTAAGAGCGTTAATCAAAATCCTACATTTTTATGACAAGCTTAGTCTTAGTTGACAACAGCACATTGTTCAGTTTCAAAGCCATATTACAACCACTATGTTTGGAATCTTTTACAGAAGACACTTTATAGGTCTTTAAAGTACAATCTTTAAAGTACATACACAAAGATTTGCAATTCCTTACTGTTAAGGTACCCAGTTTCAGTAAATGTTCAGTTTCCCATAATGCCTAATAGTAATTTTGTCTCAAGCAGCAGATTGCCAAGTAAAGTTGTAGAAAGTTCCACATTTGAAAGAAAAGTCGAACTCGGACCAGGGACAAATGGGAGGAGGGAAACGCCCTGGGCCATCAGCTTCTGTGTTAGTGCAAGTTTCCAGAAAAAAGGGTATGTAGCAAGAAAACACAACAAACAGGAGGTCAGAACTGGAATACAACAGTCCCTTAATTTGCACATCTTACAGCTCTTTGCATTCAGGAACCTTTCACATTCACTCCCACAATGAATCATTAAACATATGGATGTAAGTGGGCCTAACAGTGTCAGAGTGCAAATAGGAGTACCTTCCTCCTCATCTCTGATATTCCCTATGAAACTTGGTGGTTTAATCTTCTGAAATAGATTCTGTGCACAAAAATAAATCACAGAGTCAGAACTCTGTTAAAGTAAACACTTCAGTGTCACAGCTGGTCTCAGACTTGCCATCTTGTGCTGCTGAGATGGAGCATTGCCTAGTTCCTTGATTAATAATCTGCAATCTGTTAGACTTTTTCCCCATAGTCAGTGCAAAATGCCACCATATTCTGAACTTTGGAAAAAATTGTTCTTTGAGGACCAACAAACCAAGTTGTATTATTTATTTCTTTAATCAGAGGCTTTTTGATATTACTCATCACTAGTGAAGAAAAACTTTTTTCCCCCTGAAAATGGATGGTGAATTGTGTGGGATGAGAGATTGTTGTCTAAATAGGACTAGGACACAAGCTTTGCAGCCATAAATTCAACATTAGCTGTAAGACAATCTTGGAAATATAATCACTCTGAATAAAGTCAGCTCTAATTATTAGAGCTTAAGAATCATTATGTGACCTTTCAAAAGTGGTATGGAATCTTATTTTTGTCTTCAATAGAATAAGACTTCAGTTTAGTGTTTCAGGAGTACAGTGTCAGACATTTATAATGCTACATACATATTTTAAAAATTCAGGTTCTTACTATACAAGGTCAACTGAAATCAATAACTCGAATAAAATCTTTTGGAGGGCATCTGGATTTGGTCTAATAGTAAATAAAAGTTTCCATTTTGGACAAGACAAAGACAATTTTGGAAGCCAACATTGAAGTGAGATTTCATCATCACTGATTTAAATATTGCACAATTCATTTTGGCACATATTGTTACTGCCAGCTGCCTACTGGAGGAAAGTTACATAAATGCAAGAAATAATGAAGACCACATCCAGAAAAATCAAAAGGATAGTATAGAAAGATTTCTAGAAAGAGTGACTTGCTCACTTTTTAACAGCTACATTGTGATAATCTATATTATACTTGTGTAATTAAAATCAAGTAAGCTTTTAATGATTAGTTGCAAAGTGAATCTTAGAGAAATGTGTACTTTTCCTCCTTTGAATTCTTGAGCACAAATGATTTTTATGGATCAACTTTTTGTTCCTTTCTACTCTACACAAAGATGTAATGATCAATAATATACTGAGAGAATCAGAAAAGGCTTTAACTTTGGTATCTTGTCATGTACAACACTTCTAATTTTGACACGAAAGCAAAGAAAAATAAGTGCCAGTACTGTAAATTGAGGGCACTACAAGATATTGGACAATAACTAGTTATAGGTAAATCTCAAAATGGGGTCTGCATTTGTGTTTCCAGAGAAGATCCTTAAGTAAACATTTTCAAAAACTTTCCCAAAAAGTGTAATTTAGATTTGGTTCAAGGGAATGGATAAACATGATGTGGGATATGAGTGAGGTAGAGCAGGGTTTTACCAAATCATGTGTCATGGAATGCCCCTGGATAAATTTTGATCAGAATGTCAAACTGCTCTAGGAAAGGAGTTGATCCTTGAAGATGATGAACATGCTGGTTCCAAACTGACAAAGCATTTAAGTATGTGTTAGTACATTTCAAAGTATTTAATATTAATGGGACTACTCACATATTTAAGTGCTTTCCTCATTTGAGGGCTAAAAGACTGAATATATGCATATTTCATATTTTAATTGATTAAGAATATTTCTGTACCTCCTGTTTTTTTCAAAGCATTTTCACTGGATGTATTTAGATGATGCATGCAGCTCTCACACTGCATTTTATTTCTACTTGCATTATTCACGTTAAGGTGAACAGATTAAAAAACAAAAGGTAAATTATAAAAAAATATTCAGATTGAATACATTTTCATTCAGAAATTGGTATTGTGATTTAAGATAATATCTTTGAATATCTCACTCAGCAAATTTTAAATGTGAGCAAGATGGCTGTGGGGGCGGGAGTTCACTTCAAGTCAGTTGTGATCTTTGTTATCTTTGGTAGAATTAGTGATGCAATTTCATTCACATGCTTTTTAAAATGACACAGGTAGCCTACGTAAGACACCATTTTCTGAGGTATAGAGTTGCCATTCTTCCCTTCTGCTCCTTGTTACTATTTGTTACTCTCCCACGTCTCTTAAATTTACTATTTTTCTCCCCTTTTTTCTTTTCCCCTCCCTCCCCTTATTTATTCTTGGATCTAAACTTTTAATACTCCAGTCACCTGAAGACGTGAGTTGTGCCCACAAAAGCTCATACCACCATCTACATGTTTTGTCAGTCTTTAAGGTGCTACTAGACTATTCATTGTTTACATTTTTCCAGTTACAGACTAACTTGGCTACCTCTCTGAAGCTTGTAAATAGTGAGAACATTATGCAGCCATCAAAGGAAATGACAAAGTTTGAGGGTTATCAGTGGATTTACACTATTTCTGTTTATTGCTAGGGTACTTGTCACTGAAGCACACTAGCCATCTAGAAACTTAGATCCTTTATTTTAGTATTCAAAATATCTTGATTAGACACCTCTAGAACAGCTTCTATTTTTAGCTCAACAGATAGGAGGGCTGAAAAGTCAGAATAATTTTT